TGAAATTCAGATGGATTGACTGTTGTTTTTGGAGAGCAGTGGTTTTCTTCAACCTTTCCTTCAATGAACACCATTGTTCCATTCTTGTTCATTTGTTTGCTGATTGTTGTGTCATGAACTGTCACACTAGCCAAGTCAAGAGTGCCTTGCAGTTCCTTAGATGTTACACATGGGTTCTCTGTAACATTTTTGATAATTTTCCAGTTTGTATTTGGAGAGATTCTGGCAGGACAACCACTATGGGGAAGATTGACTGTGCTCTTGAAGTTTCTCTATCTATAGACCTGTCTGAATAGGTGAAGCCCCCAAATTCTTAGAAATGACTTTGTAACCCTTTCTGTACTGATAAGCATCAATAACTCTTTATTATGGAAGCCCTCAGATATCCTTAGATTGTGATAAGACTTGTTTCTGTATATTTGTTTGGAGAAGACCATACTCACAACTTTCAGTTCAGTTTATTTGTCATAAGCATGAAGTGATTATTTGCATGTACTGTATGCTCCAATACAAAGACAGGCAATCATAAACATAGAAAAGCAGCAACAACAACAAAATTAAATAACATACAACCTTAATAAAAGTCAGCACAAGCAGTGCGCAAAAAAAACATCAGTGGTACATAGAGAAATCAATAATCTGATTGATAATTCTCTGAATCTAGAGATACATAAAAACTAATTTTGGGGCTTCCAGAACCAGTGTTAGAGATTTCATGATGTGCAGTATTTCAAGGAGGATTTACAATAAGAAACTAGTATTTTACTGTACAAGCAGTAGTATGTCTAATCCAAGTCTTTTCTTATTTAAAGAGCATAATGGTTGAGAGGACCAGTTAATCCACTTACCATCTCAACCGCTTGCTGTTTAGCAGTTAATTAATTCATGAATATTATCAAGCTTTTTTGGGAAAGAAATCAGGATATTGTCTTAAACATAGCTCGGTAGCTAGGTCCATGCACAACACAACCCTTTCGCTAAAGAAATGCCAACAAAATGACCTGACACCCACAGTCAATATCAGTCAAGGAAATGTTCTGACAAATCCAAGATGTTGTAAGATTAAGGTACAAACATCTATACTGTACATTGTGCTCCAAGTAGGATGGATTTAACCTGTGTAGAGAATTGCACACTAACGTAACTACTGAACAAATAAAAAAAATCAATTGTGTGACAGCGCAAATGTTAGACATCAAAGCATAAATAGTTGGCAAATGAGAGCAGAGGACCAACCCATGTTGATCATTTTGTATTTCAGAAGTAAATATAAAACCTTATCCAGCTGTTTTCTAAAGGAACTGACATCTGAGCCTCAGACAGTGGATGGAAGATCTGTTCCAGACACCCACAGAACTTTGTATAGAGTTTTCTACTCTCTGTCTTAAGAAATTCACTTTAGGTTTCTTTGCCTTGTTTCTTTGAGTCTGAAGTAGCCCTTTGGGTTTGACCTCTCTTTAACCCTTAGAATTCTACTTTTGGATTAAATTCCCAAATCTCCTTTGTTCTAGACCAAGGGCTTCAAAAATAATGGCTTGAACACAAAATGCTCTGCATTTTCAGTATTATTGTCATGCAACACCCTTTTCACCTTGACTTTCGTCAGCTTTGTTCTGTTCTCAGTTATAAACACCACAGCACTACTAAATATGAAACATGGAGGGCTGCTTCTCACTTATAATCTCAGGCCCTTTGTTAGTCCCATCAGTCCCTCAAGCAGTTTACAGGTGATGCTGTCGTAACTATGTATAATTATATGGTATCCGGGTTTACAGAGATAAAGAGATTTAACCACAGGTTGTATTTTTTTATTTAGAAGGCAGATTAATCATTTTTTGGCCTTTGTAGGCATTATTTAAGAGTTGAATACTTCATACCAGTCTGGATTTTTTTGGGGGTGGTTAAGATGTCAGACCTCTGGGATGCATAATTTGTAAATTTGTAAAAAGCATAACTTGTGTGTTGTTTGTTTATGTTGTGAGTAGTTTAGTGTTTGTACAGTACTTTCATTGTTAATAAATATTTCTTTAATCCAGTGTGCCTAAAGTATTACTCTTTTCAAATATGTTGTGACAGTGAACAAAGAATGAATGTACTGTATCTTAAACTACACAAATCACTCGGTCATTTTCTGATTTGTTTTCATTTTCGTAAACCCCTATTTGTAACCATACTACAGTATCATGCTTGTATTCACACAACCTGTTTTTCTCTCTTGAAAGAGGACAATTCTCAAACAAAACAACAAACTAAAACAAAAATACAATGTTCAAATATGAAATTGTCACATGTAACTAGTTTCCTTTTACAATTGTGTTAGTTTGCCAAATAGAATACTGCACCTAACTATTCTCAGAGAAACAAACTTAAAGAAAAGTAATGATGTTGAGAGCCAACATTCAGTTTTAACTAAGATCACATTTAGTGAGTTTAAGCTCTAATTAAAAACTTCATGTGATTTCTGAAAAGAAATCCATAAATAAAAGTCATAAAGTATAAAAATGACAAGGTTTAATTCTTTTTTAACATTATTTAGATATTACCATTTTATACACCCCCAATCTACAACCTAGAGTTGGTTGATTGGTTAAAAAATGAGAATGGATGGAAGTTTGACTGGATGTTAGTAGTACAGTACAGTACATACATCAAACATGTCCTGTATTGTTGATGCAATTTGAAAGAGACGTTCAGTAATACTTTTTCTGAATGTTAACAAATCCATCTATCCAGTATCAGTAAGCCACTTATCCTAATAAGGATTGTTGCAAACTGTAGACCAGGGAACAAATAGGACTGAGAGCATGCACCTGTTCTCTCTCTGGCTGGAGCGATGGGGTTGGTTAACATGCAGAGCTGTACTGAGGTGCATCACGGATTCAGGACTGAAAGTTGGTGCAGTAGCTTGCCAGGCCCATTTGTTAACAGTACCCTACGGAGGAACAGTAGTGGCCTACTGGACCAAAGCTGACAGGAGGCATTAACACCTGGAGGAGGGAGGCAGTGCCTGGCAAAGTAGCACAGTATCTCCTTTCTACGGATGAGAAGGCAGCAGCTGCAGAGAGACGGTGGCCTTTAAAGGCCTTGAGTGAAGAGAAAGAGAATCCAGCACCACAGGATAAGTGGGAATGATATCTCTTTTGCCTGTGAAAGAGAAGAAACGTCTTCCGTGTGAACGAAGAATAAGAGAGGATCTGGGGAAGGAAGGAGCCAGAAGGCCACTGTCGTCACAGAATGTAGTGCAATTACATTAAAATTAAGAGAGGAAAAAAAACACTTGATGCTTTAAGAACCAAAAACAAAAAATCCTAAAAATACAATGGTGTTGAGCAGAGTACACTGGATACAATACTAAAAATTAAGTGTGAAAGTAAGACTATTACCTTTCCTGATGTGAAGGCATATACAGTACTTGTGATGGGAATGGGAATATAAAGATACCAAAAACAAAATAGAAAAGGTAAAAGGGTTTTCTCCTCTTTATATAATCTGACTATTGTGCTCTATAAAATACTCTGTAAAACATCTAAATGAAACTGTTTTTATTAATTACACATAAAAAGTACAAATTTCAGCTGACTTTTCCTGCTGATTCTACTAAATTCTTGAGATTGGTTTGAGTTTTTGTATATTTATTTTATATTTTTGTAACTTTTGAGATAATGGTTTTTGTAACAATGATATTCAGTCTCTTACAGAATAGGATAATGGAATGCTTCTGCAGTTGCTTAGCAACACCAAGTGGTAGATGTTTAAATTGTGTATGCTCAAAGACTGAGCTACTAGGATCAGATCAGAGGTCAGTGAAAAACGAGACAAACCTGGCAACAGCAACAGCAAAAAAAAAACAACAAGGGGAAATTACTTCAGAAGATTTACAAAGATACTGAAAAGTACAGCAGAAAGACATGATAGGAAAAAAAAACATGGCAAAACTGGTTTAAGTAAAAAAACAGTTTTTCTGTCTTTTATTTTATAATTGTTGACAATGAAAGAGTAATGAGGTTAATGCTTTTCACAATATAAAAATTGTATGAAGTTTCTGACTACTCTATTTTCATTTTTTGGAGCTCCTGAAGAAAGCCTACTCCATGAGTGAACAGTTTTTCCAAGATGTCTGTTATAAAGAAGTGAAAACAGTGTCTCAGATAACGTGTGGTATTTAAAGAAAGGTTACCCATGTAAATAAAAACATCAAACCCACTTGCATAATTGTATCATTTTTTTATATGGTTTGATCACTGTGTGTTACTCCACAATGCAAGAAGAGGCATAACAGGATGTTTTAGAACTACCTGTGGTATTGTTCTAGCCCTTTCCTTAATGACACACTCATCCAACCAGAGGCTATTCTGGAAGTACAGTATATGCAAAGATGCAAGGTACTGTAGGACACCAGTATACACATATACAGTAATGTAATGAAACTGCATAATCTAACTTACATGTTTTTTGAAAGTGCAATGAAACTGGTAAAAACCTTGCAAGCACACAGAGTACTTCTTAATCAAGCACAGCACCCGAGAGCTATGAGGCAGCAGCGTTACCTGCCACTCCAGTATGTATTTTCCATTATTTAAAAATAGTTTTAGAGGAGTAATGGTGTGTTTGCATTGAGAAATGTTGAAAGAATATTCTGAATCACTCTTACTTGTTGAGTCCAGATATAAAATGGTGTGACAACACAAAGCACAAAACAGAGGCAGAAGTTTCATCTTTCCTTTCAATTCAAGGAACCTTTAGAGCCTTTCTAAGGGAATTCTCCATCCGTGGACTCCATCCACTCTGGACCCTGCTCTCTGATGACTTTTATATTTCTTTGAGGAGTACCTCTAACATTTCCGAAGGCTTCATACAAATGAACATACTGTACCATACGTGGTCAACATCAGCCCAGCGTCTTACAGTATCAGCGTGTTACCAAAAAGTTCCCAGAGGTACTTCAGAAAATCTTTGAAGTGAGCAGTGGAAGAAGGACATGAATCCTGCAAATGACTTACCTTTGGGGGTCAAAAAGCGGTCTCGGCACCACAGATTTGACAAGGGCATCGGGGCGGATGGCTGCCTTTGGTGATGTTTTTGGGCTGGTGTCCGATTCTCCACTTTCATCATCTCCCATGGCTTTGATATAACTCCCACTCCGCATTCTCCTGCAAGGGATTTCCTCATCCTTGTTAATCCCTGGGTACCCTCCCCACTCGTCCTGAGGCACCTGTACAGCATAACAGAAGTGAGATCCTCCATTTGAGTGTCAAGAAGGCATTTCACACCGTAGCTGCATGTGTGCTTTACTGTGAATGCACACAGGAAATGCTCAAAACCACTTTCTTCTAAAGTAACTGCAGTGTAAGTGACTGACAGTTGAAATAACAAATTCCAATACTGTCTGTGCGGCAGGACATGAGCAATTCAATAGGTACAGTATCTATAGCAAAAAAAAAAGAGAGAAATGTTTGATACTAGACAGCTACGTGAAATACAAATATAACATACTGTACCTAGTAAATGATAAGAAGATTCACCTCCTTGTTGCTTGAGTTAGGGCCGCAACCACCTGACTGAGAAGTCTGTACCCACTATTCCTATTTCCTCTTTCTGAAACGGATTGCCTTTTAGTTCCAAATTGTGATCCAGTACCTGTACCCTGGATTGCACTTTTACCTTATGTACATGGAGGTATAATAGGTATCTTCCATTACCTTATATACTGTACATGGATTGAATCACTTCTTAATTTCCTTTGTCTTAGACTGAAGATGCTTTGCTGCTTTAATCTGTATACTGTATATATGACAATATTTTGCCCGACTCTTTCCTATTGCTCTTCTTTTAACCCCATCAAAGACTGTAATATCCTTTATACTTTTAAGTATGGGGTGTTGCAGAGTAACTAAGGTGATTATGTAACATCTCTTTATTTAAGTTCCTAACTTGTTTAATATCCACTCAAGTGTTTTGTTTACTTTTTAATTTCAATAACGTTTCTAATTTCTGAAGTAGGTCTTAGCAGAATCTACATGAACACCAGAAATGTTTTGGAACTCCTTTGCTGTTGATTCTGGTTGCTACTCCCCCAAACATCCACAATTTTTATTCATTTAGAATCACTAATTATATATTTAATACCAACACCATTTGCAATTGCCAATTTGGTGTTTCACACCTACAATCCCCACATCTGCATACAGGGGAGAAGGAGGAAGTGTAGGTGAGCTCTTATGATCCGCTCACCTTTAAGCTGCTTGACTTTTAACATGGTACACAGCCACAGCCCTGTACTGGACATCCAGCACTGAACAGGAAAAGGTATCACTGCATGTCGGAATATAAGAAATGTTACAAATGAGAAGGTGTCCTTTGCTTAGACTGTTGATTGTACCTAATTGATCCGAGGATCGACCCATTTCTCAAATCCCACAACATTTTGTGCAAAGAAGTCTCCTGTTCTAGGATTTCAATATTAATATAATTGTAGTTCATATATAATTACATATTTACTATTCAGTTCCCCTTATTGTCTTAAATGTTGGAAATTAGAAAGGTTCAGCCCTGTCAGAACAAATGGCCTGCAAATGGCTGAGAGGCTGCAGGAGTCACTGAGTTGTTGTAAGCAGAGGGAACCCTCCTTTCTAACTGCATTGTACCCTTGGTGGCACTTTGTCAGTTGTGAACCTCCCCTTGGGGAATACCCCTCACACTCAGCTAATATCTTGTTCAGCCCTCACTGGGGCCATGCGTTTACCTGTTGACTAACTCAGGAGGCCCAGGGAACTGCAGCAAATTCCTAGTGGATTCACTACACTAGGATATAGATTAATATCCCATGAATATAGATCAGGCAGACCAGCCCAAAAAAACAAAATAAAACTGTGACTGGTTAGATTGTAGAAGAGTAGACTCAGGACCTTAGCTTAACATCTTATCCAAAGGATGTCACCTTCTACAGCACAATGGCACATGTACAGTAGGTATAATAGGTCGATAGGTCCATAGTTTGGTCTATAATGAAATGTTTCTACTGGCCTTACAGTTCCTTATATGTCATCTTGTGTTCATTTTTTTTTACAATATACAACATTTTGTATGTGTACCTTTTTTGCACAAGATCACTCTTTTGTCCCAGACTTTTGCTGTCACAAATGTATGCATCTAGTTATGGATCTAGAACAGGAACTGTTTTTTGTTGTATATTGGAATACAAATGAGGTTTTTGACAGGAAGGAAATGCAAATCTTTTAGAATAAGTACATTGTCGTTTTACTCAGAATTTCAAATAAACAAAAAACATGGAAAGAGAACTGTGTAATGATCACCATAACATAAAGCACATTAAATAAAAAAATAAGTCCTATATTAAATGTTTTTTGTAGAAACAGTTTAATATTTATCCTTTTTTCATTTTCTCAGATTTTGGAATTACCAACTGCTATTCAGCCTGGATTACAACTGATTGCGGGTGAAAGGAAGACTGCAAGCCACAAATGTGTATTGTCCAAAATGTTGAGATGTCAGGTGGTCATCCTCCTTTCACATTGCAAGCCCCACAAAATCACCAGCAGTGTTAAACCCTAGATTGAGGGGTTTTACAGCTCTGACTGAGAGTCCTGCAATCTCACAGGAAAGCAACAGGGTGTCACACCCTCCACATCCGGAGGACACTCCTGCTCTGTACTGTTCCTAGTTTCCCTGTGCTTTACTTGTTCTTCCGGTGTGTCTTGTTGTCTGGGGCTTTATATTTCCCGGTCTTCATATCCACCTCACTCGGCATTGGGATCAGTTGTCAAGAGGCTCGCCTCACCAGATCACCCCACGTCTGCTACCTAAGGGCTTGTGTTTCGCTCCCACTCCACCCGATACCTTGAGCCCAGAGCGAACCTCCATTTTTTTTTTGCTCCATTCCTAACGCTACGCATAGGGTCCTCCCGTCTCTCTACATGGCTAGTCCCCGGCTTCCGTGACATAGGGTCACTGTTACAAGTTAGGGATACTGGTAAAGTATCACCTGACCTTAATCCTTGATTAAGAGAAACCTATAAATAGAGAAAGAGATTTTGAATTCTACTTTAACCATGTATAAGATATAAAATTGAGCAATTCAACATAAATAATAAAGTGCTCAAACATGCTCTGCCATATGGAAATAGCCTAGATTTAGAACTAAAAGCATTCAAGTTGATGAGAATCCAAAATGAGCTGCAAAACATATTTTCAGTTTCTGTTCTGGATATTAAAAGCCTTTCAGTTGTTTTTTCTTAACATTTCTTCCAGCTTGCAAACTCAAAACCACATATTTTAGGATAAATGTAGCCTGTTATTTAATTCTTTGATCACCACAAACTTGTTTATTTTTGTCCCAAAACCATCAAAGTTCTGGGCTGTATGATGGGCTGAAGTCAAGCACTAATTTCAGCCCATACTTTCTAACATACAGAGCTACACTTTGATCAGTAAAATCAAGCATAGAGAGCTTAGAACAGATGTGCCAATGCAATGAGAAATGACTCATATTTCCTATCTAATAATATTAAACAATATAATTTATATGTTTAAAAGATAGATATTTTCCACAGGTTTTGAAATGTTAAACAGGGGATTGCCAGCTATTTTTAAAAGTTTAAAATTAGTAAATATTGTTCTTATTTTTATTTTCACCACTAGTAAAAATAAATCCATACATCTACTAATCTGGCTTTTCAAACCAGTGCTAGTTGCACAAATCAATAGGTTTTATTGGATAATGTTTTTCAATCTTTCCAGAGGTTTCACATGCTATTCTGTTTGATTAATATGGGAAAATATCACCTGGTGCAGAATCAGGATGTCTTGCTTGTGGCAATAAATTAAATAACCTCACCTGCAATGCCAACAATTACAATATTTTAATAAGGGGATACGCAACATTATGCTTTCATTGTTCTGTTATGATTGATATATTGTAATAAAATAGGGGTTGTGAATAATTGCATGAGGGAAAATAAAATATAAAATAGAATATCAGGTCTAGACACACCAGCTTGCCAGCTTTCCAAGCAAATTAAAAACATTTCTTAAAATGAATAATCACACACCCCTTATTGCCAGGGAACACCAAACAGGACAGTTTTCTTTGTTCTCCAGTGACAGTGTAATAGCAAGTTATTAACCAAGCAGCAACATAAAACGACAATATTTAAAACCTACGTAAAAACTTGGCATGAAACTGATGAACAGGACTCATTTAGTTAAGTTTAGTCAGAATTCCTACCAGCACCAAGCAAACATGAAGAATTACAAATGTTAACCTGTCAACAACATGTGGATGGGGGTCAAGGTACAGTATGCAGAAGAAGGCTTCAGGATTCTCAGCTTCCATAAATCCATAAAGAAATTCAGAAACATTTAAATTAGAACGAAACTGGTGGCAAAGACCAAGGGAGCACCACTAGGAAAAACAAAACAAACCACCTAGTAATTAAATGCATATACTTATATGCTAAGAGTATCAGAAACAAGTCACATGAGATAAAAGTGACCACATTAGCAGGTGTCAATGATGCCATTGGAATCACAAAAACCTGGCTAACAGAAAATGATGAAGAGGAATTTAACATTAGCAGACAGACTCTTCTGGAAGGATAGATGTACAGGTACATGTAAAACTACAGCCAATGTTCTATCCTGGTTTTATGATGTGTCAAAAAGAGTGTTCAGGTTCAAAAACTAAAAGTTCATGAGCTAGAAGAATTAATACTTCCTGAATCTGTATTGGCCAGGCATATAAAAAAAAATCCAAGGTATACTGTTAGAAATATGCTATAGACCACAAAATGCAAGTGTTGATTATAACCACTCTTTCTATACTTCATGATGAAATTAAGAATTAATGTACAAAAACTTATTTATGGGGGATTTCAACTATACTGACATAGCCTGGGAAAGACCTACTATATACTGTAGGGATATCAGTAACTGAAAATAAAATGATGAAATTCTAAACGTGCTTATTGACAGCTTTCTTACACAGTTTGCCAAGGCCAAAAAGATGACATACAGTACATTTTCTGTATACTGTTTTTTTTTGCCTTTTTAAACAATCAAGACAAACAGAAGATACAGAGCTGTTAGGGAATTCTGAAGATAATATGGTGTGCTAGGAAGGATGTTTTGAAACTGATCAGGTTGATTCCAAAGCAAAAGTTTAAAATTTCCACAAAGTAGACTTTGAAGGAATGA